AAAAAAAAAAAAAAAAAAAAAAAAAAAAAAACTACTTTTGTCACCATGTCCTCTACCCTCAGAAGCTACTCATCCGTTGTCGTTTGATTTCCTCAATTCCCTCAAACAGTCCATCCCAATTCTCCTGTAATTCTCCTTTCAAAATTTAACAGTTTTTGTTTCTGTAAAGGAAGAAGTAATAGACGATAGAAAAGGAAAAATGGCAGCAGCAACAGTAAAAAAGCACCAAGTTATTATAATTATTTCAACCAGCATGTAGTAAGGCATAAATCAGACAGTTTTGGTCAAAAAAGATGAATAAATAAGCGAAAAAATTTAGCTGACAGATTCAGATACACAGTACACAGCAGAACAGGAAAAAGAACTGAGTTACTAAAAAAAACCACTTTTTTCCAGACTGATTTTTTTTTGTCATAATTTTTGCATTGATTCATTCTTTTCAACAGTTTCCAGCTCTAAAATAAATAAAAAACTAATAAACGGCATAAATAAATTTAATATCTCAATTGGTAAATCGGTTCTTTTTTCGAGGAACATTTAGAATAGTCTAGTCTAAATATCTACAACGCATTACAGCAGAATGTATAAGGCTTAAGCCAAAGATCTCTGATCAAAATCTTTAAAACCATACAAAAATGCTTATTCATTTACATTTACATCTGAATTCTCACTTAAAACAGGAGATTACGTGGCAGTTCAGATTGTAAATTAAACAAATAATAATTTATTGACATTTTCTTAAAACCTTCTCAATTCTTGTTAATATTGCTACCATTACTTTCACTTTTACTACTTTATTAATATTTCTTATTATTATTAAAATAGTTGTTATAACGGTTATTTCTTATCTGCATTTCTTACCATTATTGTCATTACTACTATTGTTATCATTGTTATTATTATGCTGTTATTATTATTATTGCTATGTTATTATAATAATAGTTATGTCATTATTATCATTATTATTATTACTATTATTATTATTATTATTATTATTAACAATATTATTTTCAATATTATTATTATTATCATTATCATTATCATTGTTATTTATATTATTTATATTATTTCTGGTATTATATTACCACTGCTATTGTTATTCTATTACTTCCATTATTATTTTACTATTATAATTGTTTTTGATGACCATTAAATATGCGGACTGCTCAGAAACGTAATGTATTAAAATTCTTAACGCAGAAATAGACCGAATCGACTGAAGGCGTCTCGGTGGAAACCCCTTAATTGGGTTCTATCTGTCTAGTTTAGTCAAAAGAGGAAACTAGGTGTAAAACATTTATTTCTTTTTAATATACTTATTTAGTTGTATTTTTGAAGGTAGTGGAGGTGGTGGGAGGGGAGGGCGAGTGAGGGAACAGAAATGAATGGAAGCAAAGGGAAGGAAAAGACAGAAGACTGAGTGTTTACAGCGAGAAAGAAATACCAAACTGTCAACAAAGCATTTTCTCAAACATTTTTTCTGCCGTTATTGTTTTTGTTTCCCGTTTCTTTGTTCCCAGAAATTCCATTACGGTGGATAATTGAAAGTAATTTGCGGCAAAAAAAAATCAAAGTTTTTTCTATATTTTCTCGTTAGACAGAACAGAAAAGTAACTTAATAAAGGAGAAGAAACGAGCGATAGGAGATTTTTGACGACAATGGTGAAAAACTGCAACAATTTTTTCTTGTTTTCTTATTCTCTTAAAGTCAAATAAAAAGTTTTAGAAAATCAAAAAATTTATTTTTAAGACTCGACAAAAGCAACTGTTTATTTTTTCTTTGTTCTTTCTATCACTTAAACTATAATAAACTTCATCAGTACTGCACTTTTTGCTTTGTTTTACATGAAAGAATTAGTATGGCTGTTAAAAACAGATGGTTTTATCATGGAAATGAGCATAAATACCCGCTTTTCTAACTGTAATCTGTTCAATAAACCACCGGAAAAGCTTTTTCAGTCTGTCAACTTGTCATTCTTCATTTGCTTCTCTTTTTTTTATTTGTTGAGCAAAATGATAGAAAAAATCAGGCAGTTTCAAACGAAACCAATAAAAAAAAAACAAAATGGAAATCTTTTTCTACTACCTCTTTCTCT